ACAGGAATTGAATCCCCTATCATATAGTCATGTGTTCTTGTTTCTCAGAGCCTCAGTTATAGTGAAGAGGTAAATGACATTTAGATACAAAGCTAGTGACTTTGGATCTCAGTCTCTGGTGAAACAGGGTATTTCCATTTGGTAATCACTGCTCTGAATATGTCAAGAGTGTGTCGTCACTTTGCTAAACAGAGCTCCAGCCCAAAGGAATTTCCCTGGGAGCCCTGGTTCAGCCATCTCCCTGGTCCCAGGGCAGTGTTTGGTTTTTGCCTTGTTCTGAATGTGAAGCCTTCACCGTACTCTGCACGATACCAGCCCAGGCACAGTGGGAGGCAGACACAGTATCCAGCCAGAGGGAGCTGAAGGTACCTAAAGGCACACAAACAAATCCCTCCAGGGACACTGAGTTAGGGAAGAGAGACAACTGCCCAGACTGAATGAAAGCAGCAACTAAAAAAGTGGCCGCACTGAGAGACACTCTTCCTTCTGGCAAGTTGGCAGTGGCATGTTGGTAGGAATGACGTAGGAGTGTTGGTGAATCCCTGAGGAGGAAGTACATTGTAGGAAAGAGCCAGCAGGGAGCAGAGATGAACGAGAGAAGAGGAGGGCTTGTTAATTCGGTGATAGGCAGTGGGAGACGGGAAGAAAACAAGATCAAGATGGAGGAAAGAATTTTTGAGTAGAAAGAATGTTTCTTCCTCTCAGACTACAGACAGATTTATCAGGGAGCAGAGAAAAATGTAGGGAGTATCTACCAGGTAATTCTGAGATCAAATAGCTGCAATGTGACTTGGAGGAAATTAAGCTCTGGTCTCATCATCTGAAAAACAGATTGATACCTCACAGATGAATTGTAGTTATCTCTCCAGCCGAGTGCTTGCAGCTGCTGCATAAATGATATCAGTGGTAGTTTTTGTTGTTATTCACCTTAGGAAAGAAGGAGGCAAAGCCATCTACCTAAGGGAAGTAGGGAGGGAATGGTTTAGAGGCTTGGGGGAAGTAAGCCGCAATGAGACTTAAGACAGAGACAACTGGAAGGTACCTAGAAGGAAAGCCACGAGGTAGTGAAGAACCAGCTAAAGTGAGAAGGCAGGAATTTAGGACAGTGAATAGCTAAGTAGGATCTTAGTGGGACTCTGGTGGGATCCTAACAGCCTGGGAGTGGATCCACATTTCTATAACCACTGCACAGGCATTCATGTTGCTGAAGGCAATGGCTGCTTTAGTTATGGGGAATCTGGCCAGTGATGAGGTCTGTACAATTTAGCATCACTCCCATGCTTGTGATTCTAAGAGTCCCAGTCTCTCACCCATCAGTGCCAGACAGGTGTTGACCATTGTCTTAGTTAGAGCCATTACACTATCAGCCTTCAGTTGTATAAGAGGTCAGGGAATGGTGTGACTAAGGAAGCAAGAGCCAAATATATAGCAAACAGTGGTTTATGAAGGAGACCTAACTGTACAATGCTTTTAAGAAGTCACTTTTTTTTGGTACTGGGGATTGAATGCAGGACTTTGTGCTTGCGAGGCAGACGTGGCACCACTGAGCTAAATCCCTTGGCCCCAAGAAGTCACTTTTTACAGCCAGGTATGGTGGCACACACCTGTAATCCCAGCACTCTGGGGGCTGAGGCAGGAGGATCACACTGTGAGTTCAAGGCCAGCCTGAACTACATAGTGAGACCCTGTCTCAAAAAAAAAGAAATCACCTTATACTGTTTGCAGATCATTTCATTGACAAGAGTTGTCAGTTGACCTGTAGCAAAAAGAGCACTCAGGAAAAGGTTTTTCAACCTCAAGACTTGGACATTTGGGGCCACATAAGTCTGTTGTAAGGGCCTGTCTTGTGTATTGTGGGCTGATTATAAGCATCCCTGGCTTCTAACCACTGGATGCCAGTAGCTGCCCTAAAACCCTTATCCAGTTGTGACTATAAAAAGCATCTCTTGGCATCGTCAAATGTCCCCTGAAGGTAAAACTGCCCCTAGTTGAGAATCATAGAAGGACAATGATAACTCTTTATGAAAAACATCCTAATGTGCATGTTTCATCATTATTTTGAACTTAGCTTTGATGATCTCTTCTTCCAGATTCTCCTGAGACCTTCTTCCTCATTATCAAACCCTGAAGCTGTTGTATCACCTCATCAGGCAAGACAGAGCCAATGGATTACAAAGAGGAATTTCAAAATCAGACACACAAGCCTAAACATTGCATGATTTTTCTTATACAAGAAACCCAAAATATAAATAAAGAGCAAACTAAAAGCTAGATAGTAGGGAGATAAATCCTTCTCAAATGGGAAGGGGATCAAGAGATGGAGAGAAGGGGAGGGAGCAAAGGGAAAAGGGATGAAAAAGGAATTCAGATGTGTTATGTACATGCATTAACTCCACACAAGGAATGTAAACATGATGTATTGCAAACATGTATAAATAAATAAGTAAAAGGCATTTCATCAAAGCTCTAGCTTTGTCAACCTGAAACCTATGCAATTTGAGAAGCTCTTTTGAACACAAAAGCACAAGGGTTGTTCTGGCAACTTTGAAAGGAGCTGAGGCAAAGTATGGGCCTAAGCCTGACTCTCTGGCTTCACTGGTGTGTGGTCCCCCTCCCCCCACCCTGGCTTCTCTACCTCACGTAAGCTTGATTCTTGGTTCAATTTTCTTCTTTTGCCTGAACTCCCCATTCTCCATACAGTGTCAGATAATCCCACAGAGTACATCAAACCTAATGTGGTTTTCTCCTGTAAACAGCTACTTAAGATACTATGCCTTTTGTTTCTTTTTCCCACAAGTTATTGAAGATGAAACTACACTGCTTTCCCCAAAAGGAGTGCAAATTTGACCTGAGACTATGTAAAAGAAACCTTCTCATCTTAATTTCCCAGGCTACATGGAAAATGAAATTGTTCTACTTATTAAAATAGCTTTTCTTCAAATTCTTGTGACTTACTAAAAATGACCATTAACATTTTCAGTTGGTTCCATTTTGGTTTTGGTCAGAGTTTCTTCTGAAATCAGTTTCACTAAGAACTTTGGTGACATTTATCCTTCACTTCCCTTTTTTTTCTCTCTCTCTGACGCCTTCTGGAGGCTAATGGATGTGTCACCCTTGTTGGCAAGCAGCTTCTCTTTTTGGATAGGATCAGTTGAGACCCAGTGCTCCAATCAGTGGTAATAACTCATGTTTTCCTTTTCAAAGCACTCTAATACTGACTCTCACTGATATTAGGTTAAGAGCAGGTTGCCAGCACCACATAAAATAAGGCTCAGCTAGAAAGTCAGCAGTAGCTAAGTTCCTGCCCTCACCCTACAGAAGCTGGCAGTCTAGTGAGAGTGATATATACTTAATATTAATTTGAGGATGTACTATGTTCCTCTGCTATTCTAAACACTTTACACATAAACTCACAAGTACAGGGCAGAGTATGACATAGAAGGACAAGTCATCGCAAGTCATGTGAGCCATGGCTGTTGGTGGGGAGCAGCCAAGAAAGCTTCATAAAGCAGAGGGAATTTGAACTGAGCCCTTGGGATCACTATGCTTTTAAAATTTTTTTATACTGAGGATTGAACCCAGGGCCTTGAGAATGCTAGGAAAGCACTCTACCACTGAGCACCATTCCCTTCTATTGTTTATTTTGAGATAGGGTCTCATTAAATTGCCCAAGTTTGTCCCAACCCTGTGATCCTCTTGCTTCAGATTCATGAGTAGCTGGTCCCTATGCTTTAAACAGGCAGAGATATTCTGAGACAGCACATGTGCTTACTTCTTATTAGCCCTGAGGGGTTTATAACATGGCCCCCCAATATATGGTACCTTGGCATCTTAAATATTTATTTAAAGCTGAAGGAATCTGAGAACCTGCCAGAAGCAGGCCGGCCACTCTCACCTTCCCCTCCCCTTCCCAGAAGTAGGTCACAAGTCCCTCACTGCAGAGGTTTCCTTTCTATTCCCAGAGGAAGGGAACATCCTTGTTTCTGAAGACACAGGGAAGAATCTGAACAAACATGTTGCTAAGCCCCTCTCCCCAGTTTATTACCACTAGATCAGACTTCCATTATCCAATTACATTTCTCCACAGCTGTCTTCATCAGACCTGGCATAAAATGTGCAAGTGAGTATGGTTCCACTGGGTGTTCATGAAGTCTCTTGGATCAGGTAAATTTATATTAAATAAATTTGTATGCTTTGTTCATGTTAATCTGACTTTCATCATAGACGAAACCAAGCAATAGGTGAGGAAAAGATATTTCTACTCTCCTGCAACCCCTCACATTTTCACACAATATTTGAGACTACTTATAATAAAAAATGCAAGCCAGGAGTGGTGCTCATGCCTGTAATCCCAAAACTCAGAGGGTGATGCAGGAGGATCACAAATTCAAGCCCAGTCTAGAATATTTAGTAATTTAGACTGTCTCAAAGCTTTAAAAGGGTATGACTGGGCCAAGGATTTAGCTCAGTGACACTGCAACTGCCTCTTAAGCATAAGGTCCTGAGTTCAATCTCCAGTACCAAAAAACAAACAGGGTATGATTGCCTGGGAATATAGTCAATGTGAAGACCCCAGGTTCAATCCCCAGTACTGCAAAAACAACAACAACAAGAAAATGGCCACAATGGATTGTTAAAAAACAATGGACTGTTAAAATGGAATTTAAAAATATAGGTCACTTTAAAGAGAAAAGGGAGAGAACCTGTCCTTGGCTAAGAATATTTTTAGAATCAAGCTAAAATGTAGGTGTCCAGGCAACGTAGGTATAATGAATTTCATAATTTCTCCTTCTTAAAAACAAAAACAAAAACAAGCAAACAAACAAAAGCCAGGCACATGTGCTTACTCTAAACTGTAAGAAAATTGACAGGGCAAATCTTTATCCAAGGGACTAGTGAATAATATAAAATTATTTTCCATACATGCAAAAAAGGTTTTTCATGTGTCTGTTTCTCATGCTGAAAAGTATTGTCTCGTAGTGGTATTTCTTTTCTTTTTTTTTTTTTTTGGTACCAGGGATTGAACTCAGAACCTTGTGCTTTCGAGGCAGGCACTCGTGGTGGTATTTCTGTAGGGAGGTGAGAATCTGGGATCCAAGAAAGCACTTTCAGGTACTTTAATTCTACCTACGGTGTCAGAGTTTAGAATGCTACTTTTCAAACTCTACTGTGCATCATAGAGACCTGGGGATTCTAATTCAGTTGGTCGAGGTGAGGCCTGAGCTTCTGCATTTCTCCCACACTTGGAAGACTAAGATTTAGAGCAGTGGTCTCAAACCTAAGCATGTACCAGAATCACAAGGAGGCCACAAAGATGTGGATGGCTTGGCCGCAGCTCCACAGATCTTCATGTAGTCATACTGGGGTGGAGCCCATGAGTTTACATGTCGAACAAAATCCCAGGTGACACTGCTTGTGCTGACCACCCCACCCTGCCCCCTCAACCACATTTTAGAAACCACTGAGTTAGAACATCCTTCATGAATGTAGGTAAGTGGTTCCTCTTCTACTTTTTCAGCTTTGCTTGAAAGTTGGGGGACACAGAATTCAAGATGAGTCTTCCAAGCAGGCATTTTGTAACTTAAATAAAAAGAGATCTATATACTTTAGATAAGGAAGTTAAGGGTAACTCACATCTTTTGACATTTTCTCTGTGCACTGAACTGGGGGTTTAGTACATATTATCTTACTTAGCATCTGGCCTGAGCAGCAGAGTTGATGTGTGATGTGTAGCCAAGAAGCCAGGCCTGTGCACATATGGGGAGGGGTGTTGCATCTTCGGTGTGCTGTGGTCCACAGATGTACCTGCAGGCAAGGCCAAATCATCTTGCAGGAAACACCTTTTGATCTGGACAAGCAGTCAGTAGAGGCTGAAGTTCTGCTTCACAAAGCCTGCAGGAAACAACTGAAAGAACGTGAAGGCAGATGCTAACAATCATCTGTCTCAACCACAAAAGTACCTGAATATAGAACAGAGTTTATAGAATGGCTCTGGTGTGATCAGAAGCACCTGGATGCCTGGGACCCATCGCAGAGGGTGTGATGAATATAGAATATGGTCTGAGGAGACATCTAAATATAAGCTTTTTTATTTTTTATTTTTTGGTTTTTTGAGACAGGGTCTCAACTATGTAGTCCAGGCTGGCCTTGAATTTATAGTGATCCTCCTGCCTCAGCCTCCCTAGTGCTGGGATTACAGGCATGTATTATCGCACCTGGCTTAGGCACATTTTAAAAAGCTCCCTAGCCAGGGTTGAGAACTACTAGTACAGATTTGATTTGGGGCAAGGTAACTGGAGGACAAAACACCTACTCCTAGGCTGAATCTCTTAAAGATTTGACAAACTGGTTTTTGGCTATTCTTTGGAGCACTGGTTTTCAAATGATACTATGCATCAGAATCATGTGGAAGGCATAGTAAAGCTGATTTCTGGGCCCATTCTAGAGTGTCTAACTCAGCAGCCTAGGGTGGCCAAGAATCTGCTTTTTTGGGGGATGCGGTGGGCTACTGGAGGGATGAGAGACTAATATAATTCTGGCTAGCCTTGAATCTAGGATGACCTTGAACTTGCAGCAATCCTCCTGCTTCAGCCTCCCAAATTCTAGGATTAGGGATGTATGCCACCATGCCCAGCTGAGTTTTTGTTGTTGTTGTTGTTGTTATAGTACTAGGGATTGAACCCAGGACCCATAATACTGAGCTATACCTCCTACCCTTTTTGAGACAGGGTATCACCAAGTCTCTAAGTCTGGGCTCAAATTTGAGATCCTCCTGCCTCATCCTCCCAGAGTACTGGCATTACAAGCATGGGCCTCTAGGCCTAGCAAAAATCTGCATTTTTAACAAGTTCCTGGTGATGCCGACACCTCTGGTCACCAACATTAATTACTTTACTATTAAGACCTTAACTGTATGTAGAGAAGGATGCCTGTGTTTCATATTTTCTACTTCTCAACTTTTGTTTATTGGAGAGAAAATGCAGTCAATCAAAATTTAAAACATCAAAACTTCATAATCCAATGATAGCCACAATGAATAACATTTTTCTACACAATAGATATATATGTATTCAGAATTTCTTTCAGAAATTATGACAGTTGTGTGAAGAACATTTTTGCACCTAGAAAAATGTTTATGCACACATTATACCTTATTCCCTGGATGTGGCACTGTGTGACTTCTGGCTCTTTCCCAAAGTCAAAATGACCTTGAAAGGTAAATGTTTTGAATTAATTTAGGTTATCAAGGCAGCTAGGACAACACAACTAGAGATACTCACATAAGAGGACTTCCAGAACTACTTCAGAAAGTGGCAAAAAGGTTGGGATAACTGTTCAAAGTGAGGGGAAGTGTTCTGAGGAGGAATCTTGGCATTTGAGCATCCAAATTTTTTTTTTTGTACCAGGGATCAAACTCAGGACCTTGCCCTTGTGAGGCAGGTGGCGGCACTACTGAGCTAAATCCCTGGCTCCATCCACTGTATTTTTTGATCATACCATACATGTCATGCTTTGGAACTGTCTGGTCTCACATGTGACTGGAGTGCTGTGGATATGGAGGACATAGTAGGATATTTTTACAACTGCCTAGGGAGCAAAGGGAACAGATATTTTTATTCCCAGTTTGCTAATTGAGGACACTAACACTCAAAGTTAACTGACTTCCCAGAAGTAACATGGTCATGTAGCAGCAGTCACAACTAACATCCAAGATTCTTGATTCCCAGCCCTTTGCTTATTCTGACATACAATATAACCTTTTTCAATAGATGTCCAATGTATAGAGATTTGAGGAAAATTAAATGTTGATTTTAATCTTCTCTATTGTGTGAGAGTTCATGTCCCAGGATTTTAGAAATAAGAGAAAGCAGAATGACTCAGATTATCACTTCTAGTCATGGCTGTGAGAAGCACACAGACTCCTTTTTTTAGCCAAGGACATAAGACAACAAATGTGCCCCTTTGCTGAGTGTGGTGCCACAAGCCTGTAATCCCAGCACTTGGGAGGCTGAGACAGGAAGATTGTCAGGAGTTTGAGGCCAGCCTGAGCTACACAGTGAGACCCTGTCTCAAAAAAAAAGTACCCCTTCAGAGCCCCTGGATATTCCATAGCCAGAAGAATGGTCAGTGCTTCCAGGAGTATGGCCCAACTTCTCTCAGACTGGCTGGGTTCTGACTCTCACCTCTTCTTTATGCTTGCTAGATGACCTTGGACAAAGAGCTCAATCTCTCCAAGTCTCAATTTCTCACCAGTAAAACAGGAATGATAATATATATTTCATATTCTAAGGAATGCATAGTATCTGGAAAAAACCTAATCCATAGTAAGCAATCAAGCCGGGGATTTAGCTCAGTGGTTCTGTTGCCTGCCTAGCAAGCACAAGGACCCGAGTTCAATCTCCGGTAACAAAAAAACAAAAAACAGTAAGCAACAACACAATTTAGATATTCTTAACACTATTAGAAGGAGCCCACTAGGCCTGCATTTTCCATTTTTCCTTCTCTACTAGATCTTCCCTATCAATATGCACAGGCATTTGTTTCTCTTATTTAAAAAAAAAAGAAACTCTTTCAGTCCTATTTCCTTTTCTAGCTGAAACCCATTTCTCTCTCCCACTTAAAGACAATGGCCTTCAAAGACTTTCTATAGTTACTGGCTTCTTCGTTTATCCTTGAACCTTCCCATTAAGACTTTCACCTTCATCGCTCCACTGGCACAACTTTTTCAAGGTCACCAGTGACTGACTTTGCTGAAGGCTCAGTCCTCCTCATACTGGCTCCATCAGTGGCCCTGGACAAGGCACTCCCTTCTCACTACGTCTTCTTGGCTTATCTTCCAGGACAGATACCAAGCTCTCCTTATTCTCCTCCTAGCTCACTGGCTAGCCCTTTGGTCTTTCTCCCCCAGTTTTTCTCTTCTCAATTGTAACACTAGATGGTTCTAGGACTCATGCCAGGGACTTCTCTTTTCCATTTACCATCATTTTTTCAAAAACCTTATGCTCTCTTGCCTTCAAATGCCATCTACCATTGAAGACTCCCAAAAGTTTACCTTCACTCCAACCTCTCCTCTGAGCTCCAAATTCATACATTTGGCCACTTACTCAGCCTTTCCACTAGGATGTCTAACAGGGATCCAGAATATAACTCTCCATAACTGAATTCCCGATTGTCCGACCAATTTGGACCCTTTAAGTCTTCCCTTTCAGTTCATGGCAATTTCCTCTTTTTTTTGGACAAGGTCTTGCTATGTAGTTCAGGCTGGCCTTGAACTCACCAGGTAGCCCATGTTGGCCTTGAACTCCTAGCCATCCTCCTGCCTCAGCCTCCTGAGAGCTGGGATTATAAGTGTCCACCACTACTACTGGCAGGCAATTCCCTTTTTCTCATTGCTGAAGTCAAAAATCTGTTTGACTTCTTTGTTTTTCTTTCTTTTTCCTCTTTCTCTTCCTCTTCCTTCTTCTCCTCCTCCTCTTCTCCTTCTTCTTGTGGTACTAGGGATTGAACCCAGGGGTACTCTACCAGTGAGCTACATCTCCAGCTGTTTTTATTTTTTATTTTGAGACAGGGTCTCACTAAGTTGCTAGGTTGGCCTTGAACTTGCTCATCCTGCCTCAGATGCCCAGATTTCTGGGCTTACAGGTATGCACCACCCCACCCACCTTTCTACTTTCAAAATATATCCAGAGCATCACCACTCCTCGACGTCTCTATTACCCTGGTGTAAGATACTTTCTTTTCTAAATTACTGCCACAGTCTCCTAACTGGTCTCACCTGTGTCATTTGCAGTTTATTCTTGTTTTTTTGGTACCAGGGATCGAACTCAGGACCTTGTGCTTGCAAGGCAGGCACAGTGCCACTAAACTAAATCCCTGACCCCTCACAGTTTATTCTTAACAAAGCAGTGAAATAAATCCTGTTTAAAAGCACATCAGATCCTGTCATTCTGCTTTAATCACTCTATGGATTCTCTTCTTATTCAGAATGAATCAAAGTCCTAACGAAAAACCTCCATGATCCCCTAACCCCCAACCACCCACCTATGCTAGCTGACCTCATCTCTCTCTTTTTTTTTTTTTTTTGATACTGAAATTTGAACCCAGGGCCTTGACACTGAGCTACACCCCCAGGGTCTCACTAAATCATCTGGCTGGATTCAAACTTTCCATTCTCCTGCCTCAGTCTCAGAGTGCTGGATTTGCAAGTGTGAGCCACCATGCCCAGCTCATCCTGTTCTTGATTGAGTCACACTGGCCTGCATATTAATCCTTAAATTTTGCCAAGTATACTATTGTTTCTGGCCTTTGCATTTGCTGTTTTCTATGCAAAGAATGATTCTCCCCCTGATATCCAAGTCTCTTCTCCTCCTGGTTCATGTCTTGCCTTAAATATCACCTTCTTGGGTACTGCTTGTTTCCCCAAGTAGAATACACAGGGCATGACAACAAGGTTTTTGTCATTTCAGGTCATTTCAGCTCCCTCCATCTTTCCCAGCACCCAAAGTGGTGCTTGCTTATGTAATTCTAGCTCAGGGGCCAGGGATTTAGCTCAGCAGCACCATACCTGTCTTGAAAGCGCAAGGTTCGGATTTTGATCCCTGGTACTAGAAAAAAAAAAAAAGAAAGCAATATAATTCAAGCTCAGGAATTGTTGGTTTAATGAATGAATTAGTCCCTACTTATAAACTAAAAACAAACATCCAGAAGAGAGATCCTGGGGGAAATCCCCAAGAGTTATTTGGCCTGAGAAAAACACAACTTACTTGAAAAGGGAAATAATTTTGGTTTTCCCCTTCATTTCTGAAAGTTATATTTAATAGAGACTAACCATGCCTGGCTCAATAATCCCTTCCTAATCCTTAATACACCTTCATAAGAACACAGAGGAGAATGGTGAGTGGGAGCCTTCGAGAAGGGGTGAGGAAAAGGGAAGAAGAGGAAGATGAATAAAGGTCACTGGCTCAGTGGAATGCATGATCCACAGGAACTGGACTTGCCCTGGGTCTTTCCTGCCCTAACTAGGTCCTGAACCAGGTTTCTGCCTGTGTCTCTGTTCTCTGGTCCACCTGGGTTCACCACTCCTCCTATGGAAAAAGTCCTTCTGCCTGGTTGTATCATGAATGGAGCTTCTTTTATTTATTTATTTATTTTTTGGTACCGGGGATCGAACTTGGGTCCTTGCACTTGCGCAGCAGGCAGTGAAACCACTGAGCTAAATCCCTGGCCCATGAATGGAGCTTCTTTTAGATTGTGTCACAGCTTCCCCAGCAAACATTTTCATCATCCAGTTGTGTGTGTTAAGAAACAATGCACTATTTCCAGCCAGTGTAAATACCATATTTCCCATTAAAGGTAGGAAAGTATTGAGGGAGTGCAGAGTGCCACAGAATAAGGCAGTTTGCTTTGCTCATCTACACACAGCAGTGATAACAGAATGACTGATTTCTCTGGCCAGGACCAGCTGGCAAAGGCAGATGAGACAGTCACTCACCTGGTGTGATTCCAGAGCTATCAAAGACTTTTAGTAAAAAAAAAACAAAAAAGACTCTTCAGTACCACTCACCTGCCACAGTATTTTCTATGCTCCGATCAAGATAGCTCTTCTTGGATATCTTCTTGGGTTGGGTTAAGGTGCTGAGTCCCACAAGGATCACCTTTCAAAACATATAAAGGAACAAAATGGAAACAAAGTCTTTGTCAATAGGGAAGGATGGAGGGGGTAAAAGGAGGGCAGGGGAAGGGGGAAAAAATAAGAACCAAGATACATCATGTAAAGGCACAAGATCCCAATGATGAATGTAATTGTATTGTATACCTAAAATGTGCCAATAAACTAAATGGAAAAAAAATACAAATATAAGAACATTAAAAAAAAGCCACATATCCTCATGGAATGTAAAAGTCCAATCCAAGATACTCCCTTGGATTGAAACTTGGCAAGGCAAGAGTTCAAATGGTGGCCTACAAAATGGGTGTTAAAATACTGGAAGTTATAACCAAGTCAACGAATAGATAAAATGTGTTGTAGTCAGTCTCCTACCAAGACTATCACCTGGAAAGCTGGATTCAAATTTAGAATTCTCAGTTTTCTTAGCTTCTCTGCTAGAAGTGGTGGCATGGAGGGCCAGCCCCTGGCCCACAGCTGGTCTCCCTTGTCCTCCCACCCTGGCTCCCTGCCATACCACAGGAGCCTCCTGTGGACACCTAGTCTGCACCTCCAAACTCTGTACAGCTACCCCTTGGCCACCTGGGCTTTGGGTGTACATCCCAAGGAGCACAGCCTGCCCTCAAAAGGACTGATGTGCTAAACACATCTGTAGGGGGACTGGGTTACTGGGATCTCAGATTCTGAGAATGTGGCCTTAAAGGATAGTATGGGCTCCTGGTGGGGAGAGGTGGTATGTCCCCTTGGCCCTAAGAACTCCCTTACCCCATGGAGAGGGACATCGCAAGAGCAGAGCTCTGGACAAGGGTCTCTTGTTCAGGCCTAAGGCTAGTATGTGCCAGTTCTAGGGATGAAACCAAGGGCAGACACTCACTGAGAGGGAAAGGAATATGTGGACTGTGTAGGTACTGCCTGGGGAGGAACTCACAATGAGGAGTCACAATTGTCCCCCTGTGCAATCAGGGAGACTGCCTAAATGGGGGAAGGAAAGGTAGGAAAGCAGGGATGGAAAAGTTCATGAATGGAAAGTGAAAATAAACCTACTTGATAACTGATTTTGTTCTCCTTGTATATATCTTATTTATGCATGTATGATGCATATATTTTTAATTGAACCATCACCTTCTATTTCCTCAGTTTGTGGCACATAACCATCATTATTAAATCTTTGGGTAGTAGAAGGTCACACTTAATTTATTTATGTATTTATTTCCTTTCATTTCCATCCCCCCTCCTTTATTCCTCATCCTTATAAGCAACAATTGTTAATAGGTTGTTACATCTATACTAGGGGGCCATCCTGGATCCTCTCTCTTCATGTCTGCATACAACAGTCCTATCGGAACCAATGTACCGTTCCTGTGCTTAGACCTGTTATGTCTCTATGTCACATGTTCACCATATCCAGGACAGGATCTAGCCAGCTCCTTCCTAGGCCTCAAAGGAAGACTGGAACCATGTTAAAACTTCTACGAGACCCAGTTAACTCTAGACTGGACTTTTGCAAAGATCTACCCACCTTGAACCCCCCGCAGAAAAAGTGCCCAAATTTCATTAAAAGCTGTTTTTGTGGGGCTGAGGATTTAGTTCAGTGGTTCCACCACCTAACTCGAAAGTGCAAGGACCTAAGTTCGATCCCCAGTACCAAAAAAAAAGTTGTTTTATCTATACATAAATCCCTGTCATTTTGTTGTTATGTTGTTTTCAAGCCTATTACATTCCAGTGTCGTATTTTATCTGCTAAAAAGAGAGTTTGACATAAATGTTATGTGGTAGATGGAGTAATATGTCTGTAATACCTTTTTCTCTGACAGCAATGTTCAAAGTCTCTGGCTACTACAGGGATAGTAATTTTGATTGTCGTACTTTCTCTTTAATATTGCGGTTATTTCTTCAAATCATTTTCTGATAGTAAATCATTATATTTGTTGCCAGACGTGGTGGCACATACCTGTAATCCCAGTACTCAGGAGGCTGAGGCAAGAGGATTACCATGAGTTCGAGGCCAGCCTGGGCTACATAGTGAGTTCAAGGCCACCCTGAACTACAAAGTGAGACCTTGTCTGTAAAAAACAAAACAAAACAAAAATCCTTATATTTGTCATTTCAGTTCTCTTTAAATACCGAGAAGATGAGGAGATTTTCATTAACTTAATATTGTTGTTTAATTGACTTATTTATAGTATCCAAAGTGTAGCCATTTATACTCTAGCTGTTTGATAGGATTGTGTTTAAAAATAATAGTAGTTTATACACCTAAATTATCCTGAGGCCAATTTAAAACAAACTTTTGGCATCACTCTTGATTTTTTTTCCTTCAATAGTTTATTTAAATTCTAATTTAAACTAAATGTACCCATGTAGTAATATAAATTTTTAATTATGGGATTTAATATTAAAGGAAAACAAATACATTAAGAAGAAAAACAAAAACTGTGAGATCCTTAACAAAATTGCCCAATACATTTTTCTAAGTCCACTTATGGTTTCCCAAAATGTAGGTATGTGATGCAGAATTTAGGAACTGGTAAGAGGTTGGTATAAACAGGAGGAAGCTTATCCTTGAGAAATCCCTGGTGGTGATATTTCTATGATATCATGGTTGGAAGTTACTCAGTTAAAAACAAGATACTATAAATAAGGATTAACTCTATGGTTATAAAAACTATCTGAAAACCAGCTCTTAGAGAAGATGGGCCCTGAGAACATGAGGGCAGAGTGACCTACTCCCACCCTGAAAACGAAAGCTGCTGTTACCTTCAAAGTCTTTCACCATTTGTGTAAAGGGAGACTCCTTAGGTGACTAAGGGGTGTCATTGTTTTAGGGAGGGTTAGGGCCATTGTCTTCTGGTCATTTTAACAGATTAGGATTTAAATGCTTCTCAATTGGAGCTAAAATAATTAGGTTCTTCCAAAAACACAGGGAAACTCTTAAAATGAAGAAGCATATTGCTACCCTTTCCCTAGGAGGGCTTCGGAGCTTTCTCTAAATTTGGAGCCAAGACCCTCAGCTTTGCAGTAACCTACTATCCCTTTACTCCCTCTTTTTTGTCCTAGAATCTTTCTGATCCAGGGCTGCAATGAGCTCACACCACATCATGCAAATCAGGGAAATGTGCTCCAAACAGATCAATACAGCCCTGTTCCCAAGGCACTGGTCTGCACCATGGGTCTCAGTCTACTTCCCACTCCCTCACACACCTGCCACTAGCACATGTGCTTTCCTTCCTCATCAGTTTCCAAACAAGCATTAGCCTCCACTGTTCTCTGGAAACTTTCCCCCTGGATACCACATTGCCCTCCAGTAACTACCCCAAAGCTCAGTTCTCTTTCCCACCCTTCAGTGAGATCATCAGTGGTTCCAGATGGCTAAATCCAAGGAACAGTTTTTGTTCCGCATATTACTGGCCCACTCAGAAAACTCTGACCCTCCTGATCATTCTCTCCTTCAAATGCTCTTCCCCTGGCCTTAGTGACACCATAGCTCCTGGTATTCCTCCTCCAACTCTCTGACCTCTTCTTTCAGTTTCTTTGGCTGGGGCTTTCTCTTTGAAACAGTGTTTAAATATGAGCTTCACTCAAGCCTTAGTCCTGCCCTCCCACTCTTGCCATTCTGGAGTTTCTCTGTGATCTCAAATACTCTTTCCACAGCCAGGGAAAACATATTCCTCCATCCTCACATCCACCTCAGGAGGGAACAGTCCTGGAGCTACTTCCCTGGCCATCTCTCCACCACTTACCACTGTTCTCCAAAGACCAAGTAAATGAGCAAATTGTGGAAGTTGGGGGAGCCTGCACAAACTCCAGGAAGCCAAACTGGCCCACCTAGGACTGGGTCTGGCTACTAGAGCAGACACAGGCCCCACTGGGTGGGCAGCTTCAATTCAGCTGGGTGGGAAGATTTAATTCAAGGGGAAGGAATCAGGAAGCACAAGGTGGGGCTGCAGACTCCCAGCTGAATTTTCCAATTCAACTTTATCAGCAATAAAGTTGATATACTGATCCCTGGCTATGGCCTAGTTCTACTTCTCAGCTGGCTCTTAACTCAGCAGTTTGTACCTCTATCACCGCCTTTAAATTCTACATATGGCCCACAAATCAGGAAAGCCTTAAAGATGGGATTTGGGAGACTTAAGAGAGAGAAAGATACTACAGGTAGAGATGGGACAGGAGGCTTCTGTACTTTAATAAACACAGGACTTCTAGTTGTTTGGCTTTTTTCAGATGGAACGCTTTGATGAGCCTGATGTCACAGGCCTCAGCAAATCCAACCCTTTGCAAGCTCTGTATACACAAACTACGCAGATTGGCAACCTATAGATCTAAGCAGGTGTGCCCAAGAGGGGAATGAGTTTTTCAGTCACTTAAAACATGCTTAGCTTCTATGAACAAACTCTTTAGATGTTTGTGGTTGGGATTATTTTTGCTGCTCTTACCATGTTTCTCAGGCCAAAGGAAGCTAAGCTCCATGTGGGTTAGAGCTACAGTTCTCAAACTCTAACATACATAAGAATCACCAAAGAAGCCCATTAAAATATAGTTTCCTGGGCTCCCATGCCTGCCTCAGTTGGCTTGGAATGATGAGGTCCATCGATTTGCATTTCTAACAAGTCCCAAGAGATGTTCATGCTCGTTGACTGAGAACCGCTGTGCATGTTCCTTAGGTGTGTTAAGTCAACTGGCTCAGATTTTCTTCCTCTTTATATTATGCTGAACTGAATCCAGTTTCAGGGCCAAGAAGAAAATCGTGGTGAAATTAACCTCCAGATTCCTTATGACTTAACCTTTGGAGACCTAGAATCACACTCATACCCCATCACACTGATCAAAGTCTTCTAAATTTATTGCTCAAGCCCAGCCATGGTTTGATCAGAGACTTAGATTTGGAGGTTCAACCACAGAGGGTGGTAGATTTTTATCAACGAACAGAAGAATAGGGGCCTTTATTTTATAGGTGGCAAGTCATTTGGGGGCATTAATGAAAATATT